TAAAATAGCCTAGGCAGGGAATATGTGGAATTGACCCCTGCATGATCACACAATCATATACTGGGACATAAAGTAACTTGAGACCAAGACCTGTTATATAAGCTTTGGAGATGGAATCAGGAATGACTCAATGGTCTGAAAAAATTTGAAAAAGAATCAGTGCTCTGAAATGAGACACTATCAGCACTGCTGAAACCTATCATTTTCTTGTGAATCTCCAGTCATTTATTTTATGTAGTTTTCACAGAGCTTGAAATAGTCTTCATTTTATGATTTTTTTTTCCTTGCCTGTCTTTCAAGAGTCAGTAAAGTAAAAAAAAGTATCTACAAGCAACTTGTAATCTTTTGGCATTTCTTAGTAAATGAAGAAGCACATTAAATTCACACCACATTTTCTAAGCACAGGTGAATTTTCTCCTGAGTTTGCTGCAGTTTTACACTTCTGCAGCTCCTGGGAGTGAATTCCTTGAGAACGAGCCTAATGCCAAAACAACACAGTAGTGATTTGGGTTTAAAGCTTGCTATCAAAATCCCAAATGGAGAAGACTAAATTTCTATTCTGCACAGGGAATTCTCCAGGTGTGGATAAGCCATGCTGTGACTGTGGAGGTGTTTGGCTTGGTTCCATGGATGTCAGTTCAAGCAAGTTAATAAGATGGGATCACCCTAGCACTGGAAGCAGAGGCCTAACCTGCATTTTATCTTTAAATTACTCCAATCTTTCTTCCTCCAAACTTAGAACAGTCAAGAGCTGAGATGAATTCAAACTCATAAACTTCAGTCAAACACATATCTAACAAAAGTTTTGACTAGGTAAATATAGACTGAACCCCTCATCAGGCTCCATAAACACCAGTACTCACCTTTTACACTAATCCAAAAAAAGCAGAGTTACCATATTATTATTCTAAAAGATACATTTAAATACAAACTACAAATATCAGAGGAGCAATGCAGCTCATTAAACTAAATCCTTGTAGGCAGAGAGTAAATATTCATGAAAGAAAATTGAATCGTACGTTTGGGATACTTCTGAACACCAGAAGTGAATTTCAGCTACTGACAGCTGCAAATTTTCCATTATCCTCAGTAAGATTTTTATGCATTTACAGAATTTCAAAGGCACAGGAAATAATAAAATTTTCATTGGAGGGATTTCAAACCTAGAGGTTGTCTTCCTCAGGACTTGTTATTCAAAACAGCCTGCATCCTATACAGTGCACTCCAAAATGCACCCAAGGGCAGAAATCAGTGATGAACTCCCTCAGCAAGCACAGAAATCTACTCCATCCCCTCCTCAACTTCAGGACTTCTTCATTTCAGAGCTCTTTGAACGATACGATACAAGAAAGACGGGACATGCAAAGCCTGTGCTTTTTCTGCTGTGCAGGAAAAGCAGGATGAGCTGATTGTTTAGGGCCTGGGAGAAGCTCACCAAAGTCAGGACAACCCTTTCTGCTGATTTCAGTGGCTTTCACACCAGGCCCAAAACCAGACCAATAGAAACATCTAAATGGGTGATTGCGGCTCGGTATCGGCACTCCCACCCCGTTTCCCCGACCAGGACTCGCTGGTGATTTGGTAAATGTGCTTGTACATGACACAGCAGGAAATACAACGTTTGGGAAAAGCACTTTGGCACACAAAACCGCTTGCCTGGTGTTAGACAGGTACAGCTGTTAAGCTCTGGCTGCTTATTCCAGCCAGTGAAATGCTGCTGCAAATGAAAGATGAAGCACTGCATGAAGCCATGCCAAAATGGATAGAAGGATGGTTACTTACCAACGGGGCGAGCTGTTGACATTACAATGGTGTAGTGAGAACATAAAAAGGAAATTAAAAAAAGAAAAGAATATCTGTCAGAATGCATGACGTGTAATGTTACTTTCCACTATGGATACCACCATGATTGCTAACCCCTCAAATGGCAGCCTAAGCCAAATGTTCACTGCTGTTATTGCTTAGTCACGTGCCACTATCATCCCATTTACTTGAGCACAGCATCTGAACAAGCTGACTGGAACCATTCTCTGAGAAACATTTTTATTATCTTCGCATGCCATCATCAAGTATCATTGCTAATGCCTGATAAAAGAAAAATTGCATTGCATTAGCACAAACTTTGAGATCCCAATGCACACATCAATTTAAGTCTCACACTGCCTAATGTCATGCAAGGCATTTGCTTTCTGAATCAAATACCAAATGAATTTTAAGCATGACCAGTCAGTACAGCAGTAAGGGCTACAGAAAGCCCAGGACAGTTTTTCTTATTCAATAATGGGCATGAAAGCTTACAGCACAGTGCTTTTTCATCACTGACAGTGCTGATGAAAATATAACAAATGGGCTGAAATGGCCACAGGGACTTCAACCCAGAACCTCCCAAATCACTGCTTAGGTAACTTCTACTTCCTAAAAAATTGCTGTTAAATGATTGACAGGTTAATACTGTTTCAGGCTGATACAGAGATTGAAAGTTGCCGCTGCAACAAGTGATTTCTTGGTTATAGAACAGCCCTTCATTATACTTGTGCTGGGGAAGAGAGCTGTCAGTCCCTCTGCTAATAAAATACAGACATCTCTTTCAGAAGAGCTGAAAATTTGGACATAAAATTGACTCCAGGTTGAATCTGTGCAGGCAAAGCTTCCCTTATTTTATCAGCAGCAATAATTACATATTTCTGAGCAATGGCACAAATTTTTTTTTAAATTTAAAAGATTACCAGCCCTAGGTGCTTATGGGCAGGCTAGGGCCAAATGTAAGACATGCAAATTCAGAGGTAACAGAGCTTGCCAGGGCCTTCTTAGTTCTCATGCTTTCCATGGCTCTGTCCCCATTTCATTTAACTAAGTCTAGTCTGCTGCCATTCTCACCCATCATCTGATGGAACATTTTTTGGCTTCCAGAATTATGGACATATTCCTTCTTCTGAAGAATATAAAATACACATCTTTCCAAGACAGAACATGGAGTCTGGGCCACAGATGTCAGGTTCTGCTGTTGTTTGTGACAGTGTAATGCAACTTTCCTGACTGCATCCCCCTTCTCTGGTTTCAGAAGATGGAGCTGAGAATGAGGGAGCAAAGGATTTCATGGTTGTTGTCAGGTGTGCAGGTGGAACTGCATGACACCTGCAAGGTCCAAGACAAGCTCAAGGTAAATGTTGAAATGCTAAGTGGTTTTGCTCCTTTACCTGACATGGTAAAACCAGGGTCAGACAACACTGTTAATTAAGAATTCACAATTAAGGCTATCCTTAATTAAGAAGCCCATTGTTCATCACCCTTTTAAAGTTAATGGGAGATTTCCCAGTCCTTTGTTTTCACAAAATTCAGAGTAACAGCTTTCTCCAATGAATTTCTTGTTTTTCTCATTTTCTGCCATGCTCTGAACATATAAAATGGTTCTTATATCATGGTCTTCTTTGTATTGAATAAACATTATGTATTGTACTGTAAATGACAAACCCAGAGGGAAAAATACACAAGATAATGAAAACATGTCTTTACTGGGGGAAAATTGATTAAATTACACATTTCCTTGAGTTTTTTTCCCTTTTATTTCATTGGGTTCAAGCTTCAGTGATCTCAAAGGATTTTTTTTCTGGGTTCTAGCTATTGTTTACATTAAAAGTCAGGGTAGCAAATCCAAAAGGCTTGCTCCAGTAATGTGCAGAGTGGACACAGTTCTAGGAGTGTTTTAAAGCCAGGAATTGGTTACCAGAATAACTGGACACTGCAATACTGCTTGTGACAAAGGAACAGAGTGAGGCTGTTTCTGGGACTTGGCTGTGGTGACTAATTTTCCCATATTACAAAAGGGAAGAGCAATCTCTTACACATCTATTTCTTCAACTCAAAATGGGAAGAGCCATATTGTCACTTCCAGTCTGAAGTGAACACTGAGGTAATATTTCAACAGATTATCACAATGCTCTCTTTTCTTTGTTACATACTACCCTACAAAGCCACTGAGTGGCTTTTTTTTTTTCCTTTGAATTCAGCAAATTAAACTGAACTGTGTCCATGCATTAAATGGATGGAAATGGAAGCTGGCCTCTTGGGTCAGTTGACCCCAGTTCTAATAAAGCAATCCATTGAGACTTTGAACATTTGATTTAATGTGTATGAAAAGAGGAAGACAGATAAAGCCAAAAATGTTTTTATTAACCTTTCACAGCTCTACTGAAAATCATCAGCATGCACCACTAAACTGTGAAATAGTGTCTGCCTGATACCCATTGTGCCAAATTGCTGCTTATCTTTTTGAATGAAGTAATAACCATTATATTCTATTTACTCAAATAGAAATATTAGCTTACAAACTTTTTCTCTCCCCATAATCTTTAGCATGTCTATATGTACTGTCACGAAAGGTATTTTGGGCACTCATTATTCCACCAGCCTTAAAACCTCCTTACCAAATCAAAGAGCAGCACATAAACACTGAGTGGATACTAGAGACCACACATATTTTAGGAGAGAATAATTAGTCTTTACCTTGTAATACTTACACAATTTAATTAGGGTTTTCTCTTTCCTTTGGCTATGGTTTATTTTTTGGATAAAGGGTAGTGGAAGAGAGCTTAATTATAGCAGAGCTAATCCCATAATAATATTATCTGTATTATGTTTGTCATTAATAAATATAGTTAGTCTACTTGTTATAGTTCTTGGAGAAAGAAACGTGACTAATAGCCTGAGCTGATGGCTCACATATTCATGTCTATGCCCATGGTTATGTAGCGCTTGCTTATGCATATATGCATCTGCTCTTCAATAAAAACACCTTGGGACAGGACTTGAACGGCAGGGGGATCCTATCTCGCTGAAATCAATTAAAATTTCACACAGATATCAACAGGACCGAGATTTCACCTGCGCTGCAAACCAGTGCGGCAGCAAAGGGTGTGTGGAGCCCAAACAAGGGCAGGGGAGGATGTGGCCCATCTCATCAGAAAGCAATTCCCCCTGCAGGACACTGAGGGAGCACTCACCTCGCACGGTGAGCGTGGCAGAGGCCTCCACCTTGCCCACGCGGTTCTCGGCGATGCAGGTGTAGGTTCCCTCGTCGCTGCTCGCGGCTTTCTTGATGCGCAGCGTGTAGTCGTCCTTGATGTCGTACCTGTGTCACAGCAAGAGAGTGAAAACTCTTTTTGTGGGCAGCAGAAATGGACAAAAGCTATCACCTGGAAAATGCCAGCCTGAATCTATCTTGGAGCCAGCTTGGGAAGATAAATTATTATCCAGTGTTAGATAATTCCACGAAGCATTAATCTCCGTGACATTTTTATTGCGCTCTGCATTAGTTAGAAACTTTACATAAAATTAGTATTGCTATGTTCAGTATTAGGGCTTTATTAATAACAGCATTCACTTTGTCCTTGATCTACAGCAATAAGATAAAATTAAGGTATCAGACATCAGTTATCAATACATGACAGCTCAGGTTAATCATGCCTTTAACTGTGTGAGCTACACGTTTTACCTTTTGCTGATTTGGAAATTTCCTTTTATATACAGTTTTTCCCTACAGCAGCAATTCCCTAGGGAAAGGTGAGCATGTTGGAAGGATCTCACACTACCCAATTGCAAACAAAAAAAAAATATATTCAAGCTCTGGAAGGTGACATTTATTGAAGCGGCACATTAAAGCAGATTTATCAATTTCACAGAAATATCACAAAACAATTCAATAAGGGTGGACAATGACATTTTCTCTTTCTTAAAAAAAACTTAGAAAAAATTCAATTGTGCTTTGTCCATTTCTTTGTTTCTACTGTTGAAAAAATACTAAAACTTTTATACATGAGGATGTATAAAACTTACTTAATGCAACATACTCCAGTATGTAGTGAACATTTATTCTCAAGGCATTTTAGACTGATTATACCCAGAAAAAATATTTTCAGCTAAATTGTTATTATCTGCAGAAGTCATGCTTAACAAACTTTTTTAGGCTCTGATCCAATGCTCATTAAAGTCAGCAGGAGACTTCACATTGTATAAAATATCTTTGGTTGCCAAATCAGGAAAATGCTGGTTATCAGCATAGATACCTTACCCTTTAAATATTATTATTATTTTCAACAACATCTCTTCTTGATAGGATACATTAATCACCTTCAATCTAGACTTGACTTCAGATTCACATGTATCAGTGAAACAGGAACACGAAACTAAAGACAGACCTAGGCTTCAGGAGGTGCCAGTACTAATTCTTACTGTATACAAAGTCATGACATAATTTTAGAAGGACCCATTTACTTTCTTTTTGTTATGCAGGAAAGGCCTTATAGACTTGTACAGGAAAGACATTGAAATCAGATGGAAGAGCACCCTTAAATGTTTGGACAAATAAGGACGCAATGCAACAAGTCAGATGAATGTTGTCAGGCTCTGTGAGCGTTTTTAGATCCTTTGGGAATGTGAAACATAACTTTTTTTGTGTACATAACATACACTGCTATTGGTTCCTTTAGTACAGGTTTGTAGAGAGAGCACCATGTGCTAACAGACTTCAAAGCATCTCAGCTCACAGATCCCATATGATGAAACATTTAAATTCCTATTAGGTCTAACTAAAGCTCACAACATCAATTAGAGCATTCCTAGCAATTCCAAGAACTAAGAGCAGTCAAGAAATCTTTTCACACTCACCAAAATCTTTTCACACTCACCAAAACTTCTTTCTCTATTCAGTAGGTCCATTCTATCAATTAGCAAGAAATAATTTAATAAAGATGAATGTGAGGCTAACCATTCTGAGTTAACATAAACACATATAATAGCTATTTCTATGGGAGTTACATTTAATTGTATGTAAATGCAGTACCGCAGATTTAACTGATTAATAACAGATATGCCAAGGGGAAAAATAAGTAAATAGATGTCATGGCAAACTTTAGAAACTTACAGGAAGAATTTTGTTTTGCCAGCATAGTGCCATTGGTAGTGGTGAGGGGGCAGGTATGATGTTAGAGAACTTAATATGCACCTTCTGGAGAGCTCCACATCTATCACAGCTACATTGAACAGCCACATGCAGCTAAAGAACATTTCCTCTAGACTGCTCACAAATTATGTCATTTTGCATGCTGTGCTGCATTAGTCAATGGCAAATAAAAATCACTGTTTTCATAAGACAGAAAGGGCAAATTGTCCCCCTTAAAAACCTCAAGAATATGACAACATTATCCTACAACGATGGAGCAGTTATTTGTCTTTGGTGATTGCAGAGTTGCAGACAAGAGCAAATGCTTATTTTCTTGACATGGGGCCAGCTCTGGGAGGCTGAAAATATAAATTTGTATTCAGCTCCTGTATGATGAGGAAACTAAGATCAGTTGTAATATAAATATGAATTGGATATCAGAATCAGGGCTATAAAGCTGGGCAACAATTGATGGGGTTGATGGGGTTTTTTTTCCATACAACAGATAACATCCCTGTGTTTCACTTAATGCTGCTGAGAGCACAACAGGCAGGCAGCAGGGCTGTATGTGAGAGAGATGCTGCCTGAACTGGGACGCAGGCAGGCTGGGACAGGGAGCTGCAGCGTGCTGTGGGCTGCAGCTGACTCACTCTGCTTCCTGTCAGGGATGTGCTGGTGCCGGCATGCCAGCCAGCTGCCTCCGAGGCTCCGGCAGCCTTTATCCCTGCACCTGCCAATCCTGCACACTGTGCCAAGGCTGCTGGGTGGAGGAGCCAGCTGCATGGCATGCCAGGACGCTGGGTGGTGGCAACAGCCACCAGCTCCCACTTGGGTCACCAAGGGGAGGGTGGCATACACATGTCACCGTCACGGTCCAGTTCACAATTGCTGCAAGGACAGGTTCATCTCTCCCATGCTTTTGGACCACCCTGACAGAACGTGCCATCCAGCAATTAGATCCATGTGTGGATGGACCCGTGGGGTGTTAGAACCATCTGCTGTCCTGCAGTACTGATATGCTGCCCGTCAGTCATCTGCTCCACCAGCACTGTCCCCAGAAGTCACCACAGCTCAGTGAGGAGCTTTGGCACATGAAGCAGACAGGAAGGAGAAAGGAGGGAAACTGGCTTTTAGCCTGACCCACAGCAGCACAAACAAAATAACAAAGTATGGAGACTGAAAGTCTTTTGAATTTCTCAAGCATCCACCTGCAGACTTGAGCAGTGCCTTGTCTCCTCTCTGTCCTAGAGCCTCAAATCCCCATAGCCAGATGTTTTTACCTCATTTTCTGTGGAAGTCCACTCTCCTCTGGATTTGTGCTTCTGAACACTTGGAATGAGGATCAGGGTCCTCTCTGCTAATACCAATACAGAGAGTGTTAACCAGGCTCCTGGACTGACAATGGAATGGCAGAAAACCAGGGTGCAGTGGTTAAACCGCTCCTTAACATGGCCAGTTCACAAAGAAGGCCATGTCTTTAAAATATGTGCAGTGTCAAGAAACAACTTGTGACACATTGCCCAAATACTGCTGACTCCTAGCCAATTAATGCAGCATTGAGCTAAAACCAGAGGGTGTCAGACATCAGTTTCACGTGTTTATGGACATCTAATTGATTTTAAGTACTTCTCTTTGTTAAACATTCAGAGGTGCTTAACCTTTCTGTTCAGCTTAGGCTTCAGCCATCAGGCTGAGCTGGGAGAGGTCTTTTAAACAGCCAGGCAGTCTGTGCCAGATGCAAACCAGCCACTTTTGGGCACCACCTTACATAATTTCTGTTCCACAAGTAATAGAGCAGGTCTGTCTTTAATTAAGCGAAAAGGAAGCGGCTGGCAGGGGACTGGCAAGGAAAAAAGAAAGAGAAACAAGAGGCACATGAGAAAACACTGCTGGTGAGGAAATTCTAATAGAAATTGGGTGATTTTGAGTGAAATCTGGCAGTCCTGGCACATATGAATGCGTTCATTGTTGCTAGTTCTGATTAATGACAGTTGTACAATAGTGTGCTGACAGTCACTGCCATACAGACACAATTTTTTTTTTGATATGAAACACTGCTGAAAATGCAACCCAATCAGATTTGGCCCCTGAACAACATGTGCTATCATCACTGTACTGTGAATTGAGATTGATTGGTAACCAGCTGTGACAAAGTGGGAAAAAGAGCCTTGTCTTTTTCAAGAAAAGAAAAGAAGAAAAATAAAAAACTGAATTGTGACAAAACCATTACCATCTGCTCAGCCAAATAGCAAATAAAACAAAACACATTAACTATTTTTAAGTATTGCAAATTAATGTACTGAGGTTGAATTCATGTGTTAACTTAAGCATCTAAGAATAAACTTGAATTGAACTGGTTTTGTCACAGTTGGAATTTTTTTCCCCACATTTGGAAGTGTATCTGTTCACACTCAGCCATCAATCTTCCTCATGATTATCAAATAAAAAAATAAAGAGAGAAAAAATTACAGAAGTTAGAGATATTTAACAATAATATTTGGGGTTTTTTTCATTTGATATAAAATTTTCACAGTGTTTTGCTGAACCCCTAGTTTCCATATTTTCAAAAATGTGCATGCAGCTACGTATAAAAAAAAAATGCACCTCTATTGTTTTTAACATGCACAGATAGCAAAACCACATCTGCAGCTGGAGTAATTTCATTCCTAAATATCCAAGTAGCCTAACTGGGAATACAAGGATGTACTTGCTTTAGTGGTGTACTTTAAACTTCACAGAATGCTCTGCTGAACTCAAGAAACCAAACTCAAGAAGTCTTATTTCTTGCTAAAGGGATATTGCAAAAGGAAAAAGTCACATCTAAACTATTAAAGGCTGTTAAAAAATTTGCATTAAATTATACCAGGCATATATTTTAATCTAAAACATGCTTGTAAATAAAAAATATTAAATAATAAATTAGAATCTTTGAATGTACACAATGTAGCTTACCTTTTCTTTTTTTTTTTTTTTAAGAGATGGCACACAAATGACTTTACTGCATTTTCTTTTGCCTGTTTGCCAGACTATTTTGCAGAACACGCACAAAGCTTCAAGATTGCTCACAACATCCATGATTAGGGAGCCCAAATAAAGAGATGCTACTGGCCAAAACCAGGGTAAACAGGAGGTAGTTAAGGAGGCTTAAGCTTCTGTCTCCACTTCTGTTTTGTGGTGCTGGCACTTCAGCT